AAGGTATATTATGACTAAGTCCTCTAGACCCCGAACAACTTCTAACAGGTTGACTAGTTTTCTTCCTTCATTTTTCACTGTTGAATACCCTGTCAAACCACTCTGACTTCTCTGGCTAAACCGTGCAAGTGACGAGTTACTTTTTGTACTTGCTCCAATAAGTCTCAAATGATTGCATCTCTCGCTTTCACTCTCCATTAAGCATGTCCCTAACAGAAACGCCATTGGAGCCCTCCATCGATAGAAGCTATCCGAAGTTCATTTGCTTTTCTGTTGAATTCGTCAACAATGGCTTCCAATTTCGGTTATCGTTTCTCCATCTTGTTCTTGTTGTCTTTGAAAGGACTCTCCAGGTCAGTAACCTTTTTCTCATCTGCCCCAGTAACCTTTGCCAACCCATTTTTGAAAAGTTGACTTTTGATGCTCTTGGTGTAAGCCTGGTCCATTCTGACTCCTTCAAAATCCAGCAGAGTGATATACTCTTCAATTGTGGGTACCACGTCTTCTTGATTGAATGTGACACATTGTTGCCTTGCAGAGTGTCTCCCTTTTCGTTCTGAGTATTTTCTGACCATAGCCAAACATCTGCGTTTTTTAACCTCTTGTATTGCAGCCTCTTTGTCCATTATTACAAACTATTTATATTTAATGAACACGTTTTTGGTGGATCAACACCTCTTTTGAATGATGTAAATAATAAAAAATAAAGTAAAATGAAACAAAAATGAAAGGGGAGAAAAAAAGATAGTGATATAAAGATAATAAAAAAATAATAATGAAAATAAAAAGTTGTACCCCACATGATATCTACCCCCACATGCTTATTATTCCTACCCGGACATGATCTCTATCCCGTATTTTAATTTTGAACAAGTCCTAACCACATATCTTTCTAGTTCGCATGCTTTGAACAGAAAGTAAAGCAATAAATAATTCAAGACAGCCTAGGTTTTGAAATAGAGGTTCGGAGTGGGCACTAATTCCCTGTAGTCTCCCAGTTTATATTCTAAATAAAGGTACCCGAGTTCTCCTTGCTGGTGCCCCCTTGGACTTGCCAGACCCTTAGCCCTAAGCCCATTACAAGCTTATGTGGATTGAGTTAAACTCGAGAGGATACATTCCCTTATGCCCATACGGAGAATAAATTCACACGAAGACATAAGGTATATGAATCCCGAAGGTTACTTACTAGGCCCATACGGAGAATAAATTCCCACGAAGGTGTCGCTTTCACCTCCACTTAAGAATGGTTCGGAGCTCGGGTATAGAGCCAGAGATGAAAACTTTTTCAAAAATATGAAATAATTTAAAAAAACATCAGTACAACTATTTACTTGAAAAATAATCAAATGTAAGTAATAAGGATCGAAAATTTATCTTAAACTTTAGCTTACAATTTTCATTTAAAAAAAGACAACTGGAAATTAGCCTTAGCCCGACTCAGTTACATGTCCCCAGCGGAGTCGCCAAGTTGTCCCAATCGTTTTTCGGGTGGGCCCGAAATTGGGCTTCGACTTGAGTAAGTGGGTTAGAGTCGCCACCAATCATTTATTTTAAGAACAAAAATTGGTTGATCGGATACGTCGATTTCTTACTTGATCTGCATCTTGCCAAAGATATGTCAGATTCGGGAGTCGGTTACAGTCAAGGAAGGATTAGCACCCTTGATTGAGAAAATTGAGAAAATTGCAAGGTAAATTAAAAAGTAAAATTTGATCCAAATTACTTACTCCGGTCGAAGAATACCCTTAAAAAGTAAAAAAATGTTAGATTGGTAAAGTAAAATGTTGAATCAAAAGAAAAAAAATAAAAGTTAAATTATGATACTTTAAGTAAACAAGAATATATATATATATATATATATATATTGAGGAATTAACATAAATAAAAAAAAAACAAAGGCAAATTGCACATATTAAAAACACACAGCAAATAAAAAAAACAATGTTAGAAAAAAGTCTATTAAATTAAAAGTAAAAAAATACTAATTGTGAAATTAAATATAAACAATTATTAAAAATAAAGAAAAAGCTAAATTTAAAAGAAAATAAAAAAAGTAAAAAAATAAAAAATAAGAATAAAAAAACGAAATAGAAAACGAATGTGAACTTAAAAAAATAAAAATATATAATAATAACCTAAAAAAATAATAATTAAATGAAAATGTGAATTAAATAAAAATGACTAAATTAAAAGAAAAGGTAAAGTGGGTGGTAAATTTAAGAAAAAATAGGATTAAAATTGAATTTTAGGCGTGAAACGGATGTTGAAAATAAATCAGGGACTCATCCTGCATTTATCCTCTATCCAGGTGAAAACACGTGGATCCCCTAGGGGATCTAGTAGGGTCAACAGGTCGGTCAACGGGTCGATTATATAACCCAACAAAATAAACAACAAATTCATTTTTTCCTTATCCCCAAACCGATCAAAACTAGAAACCAAAAACTCCTCTCAACTGTTCTTCACAAATGAAGAACACGGCCGCCTGGTTTCATGGAAAACCCAGAATCTGGCCGGCATCAGTGGCAAAACCCCCAAAAAAACCATTTTTCGAAAGCCCTTTTTATCTTATCTTCAAAAATACTATTTGTTTTCACAAAATAGCCTCGGGGAGGGCTAGATTTGAGAAAGATATTCTTGAAAACCCTCCCCCGATCATCGGCTTTCCTTCATTTTTTGGGGTTTTTTGAGTCAAAAACAACAAGAAACCAAACAAACGAACCACATGCAAGTAAAATAGACAACCAAGCAAGGTAAAAATGATACCTTTTTTATTTCGTATTTTCTTTCGAAAGCTACAAGTATCTCTACGATTTCTCTTGTGTTTTCCTTCTTTTTCTTTATGTATTTCTATCATATTTTTTTGCTTTGGGTTGACACAAATTTATAGTCCTAGGAATCTCTATTTTTAGTTCGGTTTTAGACTCCTATTTAGACTCAAATTGCTAACGTGTTTTCTGTTATTGGTTTGACTCTGTCGTGCGTCGGATATCTCGAAGCGGTGGGCTTGTTGCTGTTGGCGTGAGGACTCTCCAAGAGTCCTCCCTCTGCCCGACGGTTTGGTCTTCAACTGATGGAGGCGCGACACTAAGGGAACGGGCGAAAGGTTAGGATTTTGGAACCCTAATTAATTCAGGTTGAAGATTAGGTCGGCTCGGGTCAGGCTCCAATTGTAATTGGATCTGGGTCTACTACTGGGTTGTATCATTGTTAGTGGGTTGTTGAGTTTGAGTATTGGCCTTCGGGTTTGGGGCCTAACACAAAAACAAAACAACACATGTTAACATATAATAGCTCGTATAAATGGTACATATACCTATACTATATAATATGAATATATAAGATACTATGTATACACTATATAATGCAAGTATAAATGTATGTACCACATAATATAAATGAGCAACATAAACATATACTATACTAATAAACATATAACAATACATTTATATAATATAAACCATATATTATATAAAAGGTCGGATGAAAATGTGTGTCTACATAATTAAACAAGTGATCCTTGGTTTTAGGATAGTTTTGAGAGAATAAACAACTATCAATTTGCTTTCCCATTTTAATGAGTTTGCCGTAAGTAATCTATTTAGAATTCCCATCTATACCAAATAATCGACTATAACTTTTCTGTTTCAGTCTTATTTTTCTTTCTTTTTTTTAACCTTCGTTAGTCTCTTTTTTTCACTCATCTTTAGGGGATATTAATCTTGGTGTTGATCGTTGATCGTGATATTCATTTTTTTTTTTTTGCTTTATTATAACTTTTTCTTTTTTCTTTTTAATAATTTACTTTTATGAAACGTCTTCTTCTGCCTTTATGACACGTTTTTCTCTTCTTTATTATAGCGTTTTTTCTTGTAATAATTTTTTTAGGATTAGATTTGATATCGTCACGACTGATCAAGATTGCTCTTTATCTGTTATCATTATGATATTACATGCTTTGGACCCTCGGATTGGATTTGGATACGTGATTTGCGTGTGTGGATAATATTTTAACGTTGCTCAATTATGATTTGCAATTTCTCGATGGCCTTTCAATAGTTTCATCCCCTTTTGTGGTTCGTTTATCGATGTGATCAAATTTGTTCGTATCTACCGTTTATCCGATTTTATTTAGTTAGGTTTTTTTTAATTTTTTCTTTGTATGATCATTGTGAAATTTTAGTGCATGTAAAATTTTTAATCTGTCTCATATCTATGTCGTTATTATTAAGAGTCTATTTAGGTGAATAAAGTAAAAAAAATGAATTAATCGAATTATTTTCATTCAATTTTTTTTTTTTGGAGTTGTGTCTGGTCAAACCAATAGATTTGTTTAAATCTTTAATCGAATTTGAAGATAATTATTTTTAATTTATAGTTCCAATTTAAATTACTTTCTTTAGTAGACAGATTATTTTCATATTTTTAACATCAATAAATAAGTTAGTATTTTTTTAATAATTTAAATATCCACTAAAATTATATAATATATATTTATAATATTATTTCTTAAAGAATAGATATTGAGAAGAAAGTATTGAAAGGTGCCAAAAATTGATTAAAAATTATAAAATTGTGTAATCAGAGGACCAAATTAAATGAAATACAAAGTTAAATAGAATAAATTAAAAAATGTTACCAAAAAGAGAAATTAAAGTTTCAAAAATATTTTATAGAAATTAAAGAAAATATAATTCGCAAAAAATAAATAAATAAAAGAAACAAGAAAATTATATGCCAAATTATATAAAAAAATCAAATTAATTATTTAAAGATCAAAACGATGTCGTTTTAGTCTTTGATTTTTCCTATTTTGTGAATATTTGAGTTCTATAAATTCAAACTCAACTCAAACTCAAATTTTAGTTAATTCAATTTAAACTTCAACTTACTAAAATAACTCATTGTTAGAGAATAATGGCTTTCGAGTAATGATTGAAAACATTTTAAATGGAACAGTAGTTGCAAAAAATGCAATTTAACAAATTTGTACTTAGATCACCGTTTCATAATACAAGGAAGAAAGACGAGCAGCAGCACAGGATACAGGGGCTGAAATACGTGGACCAATCAAACCTAGAATACAAGGCAACCATAATATAATAAAGAAGTCGAATTGCTCCCAGACATTAGAATGTTAATCACGTTTTGCAGGTATTGAAAGATCGCTTTCTAACATAAATGAAAGATCATGCATTTGTAACATCAATCTCTCTATTTCATCACTTTTTGAACCAGTTGTTGATGCTGTTGCATTACAGACATCACCATCTTTTGCACCTTCACCTTTACTGCTGCCTCTTACATTTGCATCACCCATCCTGAAACATGTGAATGCACATATCAGAAATTTCTCTCTCGGCAAGTTTCGGACATCAAAATTCTAAACAGAACACTACCTTGTAATCACTCCAAACTATTAGAAAAACAGAGTTGGAAACAAGCATGTTAATACTCTATTTTTTATAAGTTTTCCCTTATATGTGGAGAATCATGTCAATGATCCTTTGTCCAAAATATGTATCGGACAAAAATATGGAACATGGATACTTAACAAAAATAGAGGGTCCAGACAGCATTAATCAAATATGTAAACTAAAAAATGTGAAAAATAATTGAGTAGAAACTGGACATTGTAATTGCCATAATGAAGTAGAATATGCTAGAACCAAAATGCAGGTAAAAAATCAGTTCTATAGGGAGTAAAATGACAGAATAAGTGTACACACCAGTCTGAAAGGGGAGCTGCAGACCAGAAAATATTGGTTTTGGACGAGCCATTTTGATTGCTGAATGCCCCCGAAAAGAAATCATGTTGAGATAAACTACCAAAATTGTTATTGCCTGAAGTTTCAAGGGAAGGCATTTCTTGATGGACAGCATTTTGTTCTACAGAAATACTTGACGGGTCTTTCACTCTAGTTGAGCTTGAAAAATCATTCCAGGCAGCAGACAAGCTGTTATTATCATCAATGGTCTGATTATCAGTTCTAACAACTTGTTTTGAAGAATTACTAAGAGAATCTTGCTTGGTAGTTGAGCTTTTGAAGTCAAACCAATCACCAAATGAATCATCTGATTCATCAATAGGTTTCGCATCAGATGGCTTCTGGTTACCTGTTAACCATTGATCATCAGGAAACCAATCAACATCCATCGAGGGGGGATCATGCACACCCCTAGCTGTTCCAGAATCCATACTATTACCAGTTGCATCCAAGTTTTCAGCTTGATGAGTTAAATTTGAGGTAGAATTGGACCATAGATCATCCTGAAACCACCTGTTTGCATCAGAAGCATTAGAGCTATCTTTTGCCTTCCCATCAAATAAATCTTTTCCCGATGCAAAGACAGTATCAATATGATCAGAGAGATCAACCGAGGAACCCACAAAAGGATCAGATGATTTGGAATCCACATGATTATTTTCAGAATTAGTATACTGAAACTCAGGGTTCCATCCAGAAAAAGGGTCGCTACTCTTTAATTCAGTAGTAGCATGTATAGAATGTTCATTCGAAGAACTTATTGAAGAATTCAGGACACTTGAGCTTTTAAAATCATTCCAAGCTCCAAATGAATCATCATCTTCATCATTGGTTCCACTGTCAGCTGCTTCGACTCTACTCAATGGCCATTGATCGTCTTGAACTTTGTTTATGCTCACAGAAGAATTATTTATATTTGCTAATGTCCTTCCATCCTTATCACCCACATTCTCATTAGATTGCTCAGCATGATGAACTGTCTTTGAAGTGGAACTACCCCAGAGATCATCCTGAAACCAATTACTACTGTGTGATGAAGTTGTGTTATCTACTGCTTTTCCCTCGAAGAAGTCTCCTGTTCCAAAGACACTATCCATGTGAGTAGAAAGATCGGCAGAAGAACCTGCAAAATGATCAAATGATTTGGATACCTCACGGTGAGTTTCAAAAATAGTAAATTCTGAGCCAACCCCTAATCAAGAAAAAGAATCACTACCTTTTTCATGTATTGACTTCAAACCACCAGAAGTCTGGTCCGAAGAATGAGCAACATCTTGTGCAATGGTGGAGCCCTTAAAATCATTCCAATCATCAAAGGAATCATCATCGACATCGATAGTCCTGTCACCAGGGGCATTGCTGGTACTGCTTTGTGCTTGATCACCGGAAATGGAATTACTCTTGAAATCTCCTTGAAACCAGTCTGGTGTTTTGGAATCCAAAGAAGTTTGGTTGCTTTTTTCTTTTCCATCAAATAAACTAGTACCCTGTCCTAAGACCATGCCCATGTTGGAAGAAATATCTTTTGAGGAACTCACATAAGGATCAAAGCACGCCGAGCTAATAGCACCTTGATCAGCTCTATAATCGGAAGACTGAAAGTCAGCCTGCCAACCAGAGACCGAACCCTGAAAATTGCCAGGCGATTCCACGAGCACAGTACTTCCAGTAGAACCAATCCCTTTCTTTACTGCCGATGTCCCTTCAGAGGGAATCGGATCAGAATCTTCCTTCCTTTCAGCTAAAAAATCATCACCAAGATCAAGTCCAGCCAAATTCAACGGATTATTCTTTCTTAAACCAGAATCAAACCTCTCTGGCTCTGAATCATTCCACCTTATTTCTAAACCTAAAATGTCAGATAAAGAAGATTCCTCTCTACGTTCTTTATCCCTTCCATTTCCGTCTAAAGACTCTCCCACAATTTCCTACAACACCCATGTTTATTTAATTACGAAACTCCAAAACAACAACTAAAATCCGCCATTCTTTTATCATAAAATAAGAACATAGACAAATAAAAAAAGTGACTTACAGATCCATCCAAGTTAAGAGAGTGAAGAAACCATCGGTAACCCGAAGTGGACTGGAATTTGATAGGCAGAGGCGGCGTCTCAGTGGGGCGATTGCCGCAAAAAATGCAAAGGAGGGAGTCGGAGCCTCGAAGGAGACGGGCCTTGCAGTGGTGGCAGCGGAGGCGGGGAGAGTCATCGACTGAGTGAAGGAAGGAAGGGAGACCGGGAAGCGATGGGTCGTTCGGATCGTAGGAAGGCACGTTGGCTTGCTTGCGAAGTGAGATCTGGAGTTGGGTTATTAAATCCTTTGATATTCCAACCTCCATTTTTCTTCTAAATTAACGATCTTTTTGTATTTTATCGGCTTTGTGTCATATCTGATCTGATCTCATCGGCATCGCTTTATCATTCCAATGGCGAGCCGATGAATGACGACCGGGGTGTGGGGGAGATTCGATTTGCTGCTCAACGGTGCCGTTTTATAACTGGTTCTCCTTCCCAGTTTTCGATTTAAGTGTTTAGGTTTCGGCCCATGTTCTATTTTGATGTAATCGAATCAAATAGTTTAAATTTATTTATTGGATCTAATCTAATCAAACATGTGTTTAATAGCATAAAAATATTTTTTGAAAAATATTTTCTTTATTTTATTGTGTTTGATAGATGGAAAATACTTTTTGGAAAACGTTTTCTGGTGTTTAATAATCGTAATTAGTTTTGCGAAAAATATTTTTCAGTGTTTGATAATTACAATTAATTTTTTTAATGTAATTCATTTTTCTAGTTTCTTTGTATTTTATGTAAACTGTTTTACTATCTGATTTGCCGTAAAATATTTTTCTAACTTTTTCACTTCAGAGTATAGGTACTCAAAAAATATTATTTTATACATTTAATATTAAATTAATATTTTAATATCATTTTAATAAAAATATTAATTATTAAAATATTTAATATACATATAATATAATTTTAATAATATTATATTTTTCATATTATATTTTTAATATTTTATTAGTATATACCCAAATATATTATAATAATATATGATATTATTTTTTAATTTAGTAATATATAATAAATTATTAATATTTATATATTTTATAAATATAATATTATTAAATTATTAATAATGAGTAATATTAATTTATATATGTAATATTAATATAATAATTTAGTATTATGTTAATAAAATACTATTAATTAAAATTAAGGGTGTTCAAATGGTTAATTCAACCACCTATCAAATTGAATTACCATTAACTAAATAATCAAACTTTTTTCTTTAATCGTTAATCGAATCAATTTATTTTTGAAAATATTAACCGAACCAAACTTTATTCATTTTATGTAAATCATTTTCTACAAAATTAATTATAATGTATCAAAAAATCAGTGAAAATGATTTACACAATATCATCAAACACCGTAAAAGAGTTTTCGAAAACTGTTTCACAAAAAAAATGTAATTAATTTTACCTAAAACAGCTTTCATGTAATTCATTTTACTTAAAATAATTTTCAGGTAATCTTTTTTACATAAATTATTTTTCAAAAAATCAATTAGAGTCTATCAAATAGACCCTAATTTTACCATTATATAAAAAATTTAATTTAATATAATTGCAATTAATTTAAAAAAAACAAAATTAAGTAATTAAAACGGAAATAAAGAAAAAGTTAAGTAACCAAAAATTTGTTTATCCTTATGTTTTTCCTTGTATAAGTCTGGCCCATGCCAACCATGATCCTATATGTTTGGCCCATGATCCTTTAATTTTATTCGAATTTAACATATTTTGATATTGCTTGATAATAAAAAATATTTTTAAAAATTAGATCAGGGTTGAGTTAAAATTCAAGTGAAAGTTTTTTGAGTTTTTTTTTCAAAATTAGATTTAAAATAAAAAAATTAAGATCAATTTAGTATTGTTTTTGAAAAGTGACTTTTGAAAGTGTTGTAGAAACGAGTTTTTAAAAGTATCATTCAAAAATTCAAAAATAAAGTGCAATTTAAAATTTAACTATTTGGGATTGTTGTTAAAAGATGAGTTTGAAAATATGAAATATTGATTATAGACAGTATGTTATAAATTGAAAATATAATATTTAAATTATATTTATACTTATATATGAATTAAATTGATTTAAACTATAATAAATTCAAAAAAAAATTATGATATATGAATTATATCAATTTAAATTATAATAAAAATATAAAAAGTAAAAATAAAAATATAATTATAATACAAATATATTTTATATAACTCAATATTAATATTTTAATATATAAATTATGAATTTTATTTATTTTTAATAGTTAAAATAAATTATTTTTAAGGATGTTAGTATTAAATTATTAAAATAAAAGATAGATATATAATTGAGTGGAGCTCATGCATTAATAAGAGTAAAACTATAATTTGTTTCCAACGCAACATTGAAAATGAAAAAGTTAGAAATGATAGCTTTTGAGGCTAGTTTGAAAATGTTGTTTTTAATTTTACCCGTTTGACATTGATTTTGCAGTCAAAACGGACTTTTTAACTAAAAATACTTTTAGAAGCTTTACCCGCAAAAGCTATGATTTGTAGCTTTTTTATTTTTAACTTTGCGTTTGAAATCAAATTATAGTTTTATCTTTACTAATGTATGTGGTCCACTCGATTATGTATTTACTTTTTATTTTAATAATTTAATACTAACATCCTTAAAAAAAAATTATTACTTTTAATAATTTATTTTAATTATTTAAAAATAAATAAAATTAATGATTTATATATTAAATTATTAATAACGAGTTATATGAAATGTATATTTATTATAATTATATTTTTTTATTATAGATGAAATTGACATATTTCATATATAATAATAATTTTTTGAATTTACTATAGTTTAAATTGATATGATTCATATATAAGTGTAAATATAATTTATATGTTATATTTTTTATTTATAACATAATGTTTATAATTGTCATTTATCTTCTCAAACTCGATTTTTAATGATAACCTCAAACAGTTAAATCATGGGATTAAATTCCTCCTCTCTTAATTCAGTGAATTTTATTTTCCCTCAATCAAATTATGACATGTGTTATTATAAAAAGTATTATATTAAAAAATTAAAACTATAAAATAAATATCTCCAAAGATTGTGTTATCATCATGGTAGGACAACAAATATTATATATTAAAAAATTAAAATTATATAAAAAAACTCTTTAATTAAATTTATTGAATTAAATTAAAAATAGAACTAAATCAATAGAAAAGTAAATATTAAATATCAAATATATAATTATTTCATTTTAGTTGTCTGCGACGTTACCTCTTCCATTAAATATTAATTGTTAGTGACTTGAATGCAATTAAATAGTTGAATGGCCTGATTGACAAAATTTTAAAAACATTGGTCAAAATGAAGATAAATAGTTAGATGGTCAATGCTAGGGTTGTTCAAATTCGGGTACCTAAAGTTTTGCGTACCCGGGTCTTTGGGTAGTTGATTGACCGACCTATGTACCGACCCAGATTTTGTGGGTACGGGTAATCGGGTACCCGATTTTTTTTATCATTTTTAAATTATTAATTTTAAAAAATACATAAATTTAAATGTTTGAATTACATACTCTAACATCCAAACATAGAATTTTAAAGTGGTTTTTTTCGTGGGATGTTTTTTAATCTTATTAATTTAATTTAATATATAAAATTATTAATAATTAAATATATAATATTATTATATATAAAAAAATGTACCTTACTATTTGAAAGTTCTGGGTACCAGAAAAAAATTTAATTTTGTGACCTGGGTAAGGCGGGTACTCAACTCGAAACTTATTTTTTTAAAAAGCAATACTCAATTTTTTTTTATCGGATCGGTAAATCGGATCATCCGGATTAAGTTTTTTGAGCACTACTAGTCAATGTTGTTGTCACGCCCCCAGAACTTCGACGCTTCAAACTGTCGGAATATCAGAGTCAGGGTCTGACAGGTCGTGCGACCTTAGACGCTCCTTGGTCTTCTCGGCAACTAAGTAAGCCTTACTCAAGCCTAGTGAGTGTGCAAACTCACAAAGGTTGGAACTAAGCCCTCAAGGCTTCGGATTGCGGAAGCTTTAAAACACCAACGTGGCTACTCCGAGCCACAAGGTCGGACTATCGTGTGGAAGTGCTAACACGGAGGTGGCTACTCCTAGCCACCAAGATAGGCAACAAGAATAAAGAACTAAAGAACTCAAAAAGAATAGAGCAAATGCCTCAGAGCTTATATTACTCTCTCAAATAGAAGAATGGAATTGGGTGATTACAAATGAGGAGGAGAGCTCTTTATTTATAGGGGAGCTCCCTCTCAATCGATGGCTAAGATCGTTTTACATGAAGGGCTAAGATTGATTCCCACCTAACCCACCTCCCTTAATTTAAGGCAATCCTACCTAACCTTATCCTTCTAGAATCCTCCAAGGAACGGGCCAGATCTGATGGTTTTGGGCAAGCCCAATAGTCTGTATAATTCTCTTACAGATATCTGCTCGCATGTCTCGGTTCGAATCCACGAGCCTCGACAACACTGCCCCCATCGCCCTTGTCGCTTCTCTCGGACGCCTCAGAATAGTTCCTTCACGGACTTATTAAGCATTCTCCAAAAATTGGCTAAGTCTGGTGGTCACGGTAAACCCGATCTTCTAATTTGAACCCCTTTTTCGGATACTTACACCAATGTCTTGGACCCAAGTTTCTAGCCCGTGACATTCTCCCCCACCGAACCTAGCGACGCCCTCGTTGTTGCACTCGACGATCCTGGGAAACACCTCATTGAATAGTCTTTGGTGCCTTGGATTTTGCCTCTTGTAACTTCAAGATCTTTCGTGTCATACATCACATCAACTTGGTTGCCTTTCGACGCCTCCACTTGCTCATGTCCCCCTATAAGGACTCGGCCTCCCATAATGGCTGTTCTCGCTTTGGCTCTTGCCGCCATGTGATGAAACGGGCTAACACGCCCACAAGTGCATCTCTGTCATAGGAACTCTTTCCTACAAGTCTTGATTTGCCTCGGCTTAGACCCTCTTGTCCCTTGTGAAAAAGTCTTGGATCCCATCCAAACTTTGTTTCTCCTTCCCCTTTGATTAGTTGGCATTTACTCAAAATTTTTGCATCAGTCCTTCTTGCTCCATGAAGTCTGACACTCCCCGCATTGAACCCTTGTCATTGGAGTTCTTTGCGCCATCATGCATCGGCACTTTCTCACGGAAAAGTCCGATGCTCCTTCTCGCCTCTTCCCTTCTAACACGAAGGTTGGAGCTCACTTCCCACCTTGGATATGGGTGGTGTCTCCACG